TTTTTTTTTTTGGGGGGGGGCTGGCTCCGACTACCTTAAGGGTGGGTCTGGGGATTGCCCTAGATGAATAGGGAGTATTCAAGGTTTTGTTTGTTTGTTTGTTTGTTTTCCAGAACTGGGAATTAAACTCAGACCCTCATGCTTGCCAGGCAAGCGCTTATTCTACTGAGCTGTCTCTCCGGGCCCCTTTAGTGTTACCTGTTGTCACGTATGGTTTCTGACTATCTTATAGCTATGTATGGGCTTGTTTAGCTGCCAGAGGCCTAACAGCCTCAAGTAAATACTGGCTGGCTGTTTACAAAACATTTGCGGAACCCTAACTAAGAGCAGAAAAGTAACAGACAATTAGGACAGGAAGTTGGTCTCAGTTGACAGATATGTCACTGATGTTTTTCCATGTCATAGATTATCAGAGTCCTACGATTTGTTTATGTGATATAATGATAGGAATTCAGAATGGCATAGTTTGAGTCTTTTTTGCAGGATTTTTTGACAGTAATTTTTTTTTTTTTTTAATTTATTTATTGTGTGTGTGTGTGTGGCCAGTTCAGTCCACCAGGGGGTGGGGCTGGCTGGCATGTGGTGCTGGGGATTGAACCGCGGTCCCTGTGCTTTTGCTTAGCTTAGCTTGTTCTAAGAAGGTGCTTTAGACCACTGAGCCATCTCACCAGCCCCTGACAGTAAATTTTTTAAAAAGTGTCATTTTAATGTTTTTCTTTTAGTTTTTGACCAACCATACGGTTTAGGTTCAGTCTTTTTAGACAAGTAATAGTAGCTACAGAGTATAAAATTTTCCCAATTGTCTTTAATTTTGGTTGCTATATTCATTTTCTCCAACATCCCATGACTTCTTTTGACCATATTTGGCTTTGTTTATTTTGAGAACATTTCATTTGAATTTGAGACAGTAGAAAATGAGCTTTGCTTATAAGAAAAGAACTTTAGGATTGGGGATGTAGTTCAGTGGTAGAGCCTGTGTTCAGCATGTATGAGGTTTAATCCTCAGCACCACAAGAAGAAAAGAAAGACAGCCCAGCTTTCCTCTTTCGCACTGGGCTGGAATCATAGTTGCATATAATCTTGAGGAAACCGTGCCAGTCCCCTTCTCCAGGCTTCAGTTAGCTCACAGTAGAGGACTAAGGGCTAGCGTGCTAACCTCACCTCTGGTACCTGGCTCTCAGTGGTGCCTTCTTGTGTGTGCAATTTATCATTCAAATCAGCACCCTTTTGAGAATGACGGATGCTGTTAATAATAGGAGAGCAGATGTGAGTCGGACTGTTCCTAAGGATGAGCTTGGGACAGATGGCCAGAGGAAAGGTACCTCGCATACCAAATCCTGCTGTCATGTTTGTAAAGCTCGTATGAAAACTCTTTTCATGGAGTGGAAAGCACTGTGCACACATGACATCTTATGATCCTCTCCCTTTCCTTTAGAAATTTAAGATCCGCATTGAAGACCCGCCTCGCAGAAAGCACATGGTCTTCCTGGGCGGTGCAGTTCTGGCAGATATCATGAAAGACAAAGACAACTTTTGGATGACCCGACAAGAGTATCAAGAAAAAGGTGTCCGTGTGCTGGAGAAGCTTGGTGTGACTGTTCGATAAACTGTGCAGCTCATTCCGTCAGCACTAACACTTTCCTTTTTCCTTTATTGGCAATCTTTGAACTCATTCAACTCCAGGACATGGAAGAGGGGTCTCTGTGCCCTTTGACTGGAAAGGTCAAATTTCATTCTGGTGTCTTGGGGAAGCTTTGTTAACTTTTTGTTAGTGTGGGTAAATCTGGCTGCTTAATGCAACCTCCCCCCTGCAAACAAAACCAGAGGGCAAAGGGCCTCTGCTGCTTTGTTTCTTCTAAGTATGCGTTTAGATCACTGCTATGGCTTCCTGTTTTCACTTTACTGCTCTAATATTGCTAGTTTTAGTCTTTAGCACAGTAGGTGGTATGCCTGTATTAGCATAAGAAAACGTTAGCGCAGCTTTTACACTTCTCTGGGGTAGGTGGGCAGCCCTGGACCCGTAGGGCCGGCTGCAGCTCTAAGTTCAAGCTTCTCTTGTTAACAGCTTAAGGGGATGTTGAGCTCAGAACTAAAGTGTGTTGGGTAGGTAATTGTGTGATGGGGGAATGGGTAGTCTATTGATTATGATTTTTGAGGTTTTTCTGCAGGGCAGGGTTGTGCAAAACTTGAGCTTTATTTACAGTACTTTGATTTGACAGGTCTTCTTTTGGCCTGCTTGGAACTGTTTCCATATGATATAACAAGTGTAATATTCCATTACCATGTGGCTTAGGGATTTTTTTTTTTAATTGACCATGTTAGCTGGGACTAGACTCCATAGAATCTATCAGTGGAAAAGTAACATTTAAATATGCTTTAAAAAATAAATAGTCTTGTATTAATTCAAATTACAGTGCTTAAGAGCTGGTGTTTTCTAAAATGCTTCTGTTTATTCCAGAAGCTGGTAACTCAGCACCCCGTACCATTTCTTGCAAATAATTATTTCATATAACTGACCAGTGCTTATTTAATGAAACAAGCAGTTAAATGTAAATAATTACTGGCAGTAGGTTTTCATTGTTGGTTTAAAAATTACATTGGAATGTGGGACTTGTTGCCAGTTTATTCTCATTTACTTTTTGTCTGTTTGAATTTGAGACTTACAAGCAATTTGAGCATTTAAAGTGTTGGCCCAAAACACGATTTTAAATGTCTTTGTACTGAAAACTGACCTTAACTGCTCATTCTCAAATGTCTTTTATCCTTAAAGGAAGAGTGGTTGGGATTTTGTAAACAAATATTAGCAAACTTTCCTGCCTGTGTCAGAAAATCTTATGAATTTTATCAGTATTGTTATGTGAAAAAACATCAAGTAGTACCCTGACATGAGTTCTTCCTAAATTTGAGAAATAATAAATCACATCATGTAAGTGTGAAATGCAAATCTTTTTTTGTATTTTAAAACATTCTTTACTAAAAATGAGTTTGCAAAAGAAAGCCTTAATTTTTTGGATGACCGAAATCAGAAATTGGCTTGTCTCTTTGTGTGAGAAAAATTAGTTTGTATGAAATAAGTAGCAAAAGAAGTTCAGTTTTAATCGTGCAGTTCTGTTTTCCCTCAACTTGAGCACAGAAGTTGGTGTGCATGCTGGCATGCTTCAGTACACAGGACTAGCCCGTGAGGAGTGTCCACGCGATCCGGGGGCCTGGCTCTCGGAGTCACCTTGGCATCCCAGAGCGCTCCTCGCTCATATTGCTGTATTTACAGCTGCCACAGCCTTTGAGCTCCGGGTTGTCCAAGAACACGTGCTGTGTGGAAGACCTGTATCTACTGACTCTTTAGTTCAGATAAATGGATTGACTTTTGGCCTTTGGTCATGACTTTTTAAAATACAGGTTATAAAAAGCAAGTGGGAATATTCAATTAAAACAATAAGAAAACAAACTCTTGTCATTTGTCCCGTGAACGTAGACTTTTTATTTCATAATTGTGCTAGCCAAATGAGTTAAAATGGTATATTAATATATGTGTGATAATTTAGAAATTCCATTTTGTAATTTTCCTGTCCTAAGGTGAAATAATACATTTAATCATTTGGGAGTTGGGAGGTGTTATATTTAATTGGAATTGTCAGGTGTGAGTGGGGATGGTTTCTGTTTTAAAAGGGATCTGATTTTAGCTCCTGAAAACCCATTGTCACTTAGATTCCAATAATAATTAAAATGGTTTCATTTTTAAATTAGAATCACCAATGCCTTGAAGGGTTTCTTAGAAAACATGGTACTGCCTGTAAACTTTACACAGCTCTGATTGAGCTTGTTAATATCTGGAAAGTACTTTGAAAGATCGATGGAAAGCTTAATCTAAATTGAATGCAAATATACTTCTTACTGATTCAGAAAATAAAATCAGATTTTTCAAAGTAAGTCTGAATTGTGACTTTGTTTCTTTTAATAGTTATCTCTCCCATTTTTAAATTTTTAGTCATACTTTTATTTTTGTGAATACAGGGTGGACTGAGGACTCTGCCATTGTTAGGCCAAGTTGACTCCAGTGTTCCACTCCTTATTTCTGGTACAGTTTTTAGATGCATTTGGAAAAAAAAAAACCGATGAGAAAACTCTGGCTTTTGTTTTCTTGTTTCCCAAGAGATTTAAGGTGGCTTTTACAGAATTAGCAATGCTAAATAGTGCCTTTTTATTTTTATTTATTTATTTATTTTGTATGCTTTTTAAGAACATTTTAGCTCATCCACAACTTTTAGATCTTTTTTTTTTTTTTTTTCTTTTTTTCCCCCAGTAGTGGGGATTGAACTCTGGACCTTAGGCTTGCCAGGCAGGCACTTATGCCCTTGAGCTATCTCCCCAGCCCTAGATAAATTTTTTTTTTTTTTTTTTTTCCAGAACCGGGGATTGAACTCAGGCCCTTGTACTTGCCAGGGAAGCACTTATTCCACTGAGCCATCTCCCCAGCCCCCTTAGATAAATTATTTTTTAAAAACTAAATCAGAATGAAAGTGTACTTAACTGACTCTGTCTTGCTTTTATACTAGCCTGCAGAATGATTCTGTTTTGTCTTTTCCTTCCTCATGAACTTATGAATTGGTAAAAGGTAAAAGATTTATGCACTCTGAAGAGAAGCCAGATCAAAATGGACTTACACAGTGCAACCTCTTTGTCCCCTCATGACCAGAGTCCCTCAGAGGAGTAATGTAACAAGCGATCTTCAGTGAAAGGAGAGTATGTCTGGCTCAGCGCAGTGGTGTCACTGGTGACGTGAATGTCTCAGTGCTCTTTTTTTTTTTTTTTTTTTTTTTTCACCCTCAAATTTTGATTCTCATATAGTTGAGTTTATTAATGCTTACTAATTTTGAAACCAGCCAAAGTGAATTAAGAACTTAAGGATTGACATTAGCTCAATATTTAATGTGCTATCTAACCTTGGACTAATTGACTAACTACCCCTAGACCTGGGATGTTTGTATGGTGACCTTTTCCCAGTGGCTCAGATTTCTTGGCCTGTTCAACAACTTGAAAATCTTACATCCAGGATAAGTGGGGGAAGTGAGGAAGGACCCAGGAAAGCATATGTGTGCATGGATAACCTGCAGAGTCCAAGCTGGCGACCCCTCTGTTGATTGCAACATTAATCATTGAATCGAAAGGAGTCTGAGTTCAGGGGAATGAAAAGGGGTGGTTACTTCAGACATGCTAGCGATTGATACACTAAACGCTTAACCCTGCGGCGGCTTTCCGCTCGCTGTTCAGCAGCTGAAGTTAGGAAGAAAAACTGTAAACCTCAGTAACTTGTTTAAATCATTTACACCATGGCAATGAAAATCTGTTAGCTATTATGATAAGTGTTTAAGTTAATACTATCTTCATATGCAAGATTTCTAAGCTTGTTCTAAGTAGGTGCTTTTGACCACTGAGCCATCTCACCAGCCCCTACAGCTTGGACTTCTAAAGGGAACTGAAATGAAATCAGGTGGCCTGGAGTGTGGCTCAGGGGTGGAGCCCCAGCTTTGTGTGCAGAAGGCCTTGGGTTTGATCAGCATAATCCTCCTTTTCCTTTTTTGTATGTTAAATGTAGGAAATTATATAGCTAGGATGTAGTTACCTGAATTTCAAAAGTAGGGCCAGGAGCAAAGCTCAGTGGTAGGACACTTGCCCAGTGTACACAGGGGTCTAGGTTGGTCCCCACTGGAAAAGTAAAATACAGGTTCCTGAGGCCCACGCTAAGCCTGCCTAGTCTGGGCCTCTCTCTTTTCCAGCTGTGCCTCAAAGCTCTCATACCTCTTTGTGAGGTGCTAAGAAGATAGCCACTCTACGAGTTATGAACCTGTCATCTGGGCACACACTGGCTTTCTCTTGTGAGAGGGAAAAAATGGAGTTTTTAGCAGATAAATTCAGAAGAAAAAGGAAAAGCAGGCTCGCAAAGCTGGAACCACTTAGAGACCAACAGCCCCCAAGACTGATTACCCTTCTGTTGACCTCCACCCCACATGCCCCCAAAGAATCCTCAGTTCAAGGAGGTGATAAACATCCTTTGCTCAAAATGCAAATTCTGGGAAGATTAGAGCACCATCAGTCATTCACACCTTGGAGTGGATTAAAGGATGTCCGGGCTCACACTGACAGCTGGGGAAGGCTAAGGCTGGGGTGATTTAAGCGAGGGAAGGTCTGTAACTTTGGCCTAAGCCATGCACTGCAGAAAAGCAGCAGAACCTGGAGCAAGGAGTTTTTCTAGCAAGCTGCAACTTTGTAGGGGCCCAGGAACTGGGGAGTTGGGTCCTGAAAGTAGTGAACAGCTGCTTTCGCCACACTCTGGGGCTTCCCAGAGTAGCACAGGGTAGCACAGCTGGTACTAGAAGCCCCTTTGCTGGGTGAAAATGGGTTTGTAGTCTGGTCAAGCGCCCCACCTACCAAATACAGTGATACCTCCGGGAGCTTATATAAGACCTAAAAATAAATTTTTGGATGCACCTATATGGAGTACCTCCCAGTCTTTTGATAAGTATTAGCCTAGTTGGATTACAAAATTTGAACGTTTATAGAACTGTTTTTGTTGGTAGTTGCTATGGGGGAGGGGGTGATTCCTACTTTTGCTCTTTTAGGTAGACACAATTTTAGCCAAAGATTGGGACGAGGGGATTGCTGCTGCTGTCTGTTAAATTAATGTACTGCATATTTAAATATTCTGCCATCTCTTTATATATACAGTCGCTGGTGTTTTCAGTGGATTGGTTCTGGGATACCCACCCCCACAAAACAAAACAAAACAGAATGCCAAAATCCATGAATGCTCAAGTCCCTGATTGTAAAACCATGTAGCATTTGCACATACCTTCATGCCTCTTCCTGTAGGCTTTAAATCGTTTATAGAATACTTATAACACCTAACACAGTGTGAATGCTAGGTAAATAGTTGTTTTAGGGGATAATGATAAGAAAGCCTGCTCATATTCAGTACGTTCATAATAGATTTTTATTTTATTTTAATTTATGTATGTAGTACAGGGTCTCACTATGTAGCTTGGGCTCGTAGTGATCCTCCTGTTTTCAGCTTCCTGAGTGCTGGGATTACAGGTATGTGCCACCATGCCAGGATGGCCTCTGGCTCAGCAGTACCGGGGATTGAACCCTGGTTCCTGCTCTTGCCTAAGCAGGTGCTTAGTCTGCTGAGCTATCTCATCTGCCCCATAATAGATTTGAGAATACAGTATTTTCTTTTCT